TATATTACATATGAATAATGCTTATGAGGCCATAAAGATTTGAAAAATTTATATACTCTAATTTTGTTTTTAATTTTCATAATTTATTTGATCTAAAAATCTACGTTATCTTACATACTATTGCATATATTAAAGTATGCAGGTATAACATAAACAATTTAAAAGATAAATGTTTGTTGCCGATTTTTGAAAATTGTTTACGAAATTAATCGAAGTTAAGCTCCCAGTTGATTTTTATTTTACTTTATTAGTTTAATTAAAAAATTATAGACATTCCATTTATGTACAGGATGTAGACTATTATAGCAATTGGCTTCAATTATATTCAATTTAAAAATTTAGTGTTTTTTTTTTTTTTTATTTGATTTTTTTTCAATTATGAGTATTTTTTTTTTTTTTTTAATATATAATTATGATAATCTCAAACGTCGAGCTCTTTGTAGCTTTAATTCAGAGCAATTTTTGTTTGTATATTCCCAAGACATTTTGAAGCACGCACAGCATCTCATGGCTGAGCCGAGCTGAGCAAGTGTATTAAGTGTAATTTAACTGTACTTCTAGCCCAATTTTTTTGGCAGTGCTGCCTAGTAATTGCAACAGGTGCTCTGCTCAATTCGCACAGCCACTTGCCAGGGATTCTGAATGGGAGTAGAGAAAAAAAATTGGTTAATCGCCGGCGCACGTGAGCGCCAATGGGTGCTCGCAGCTCGTTATGGACAGCAACAAAAAAAGAGTAGGAGATACATAGATACATAGGTGGCTCGATTGCATGCTAGCGCCTGTTGGCCGGGGTAATTAGAAGTTTGTTGGCCTGCGAAAATCACACAGAAAGGCAGCCACAGTCATAGCCACAGTCATAGCGACAGAGACAGCAGTCAAAACAATAAAAGCAAACATAACAAATTGTTGTAATAATAGTCGTAAAAAATAATAAGAAAAAAGTTATGTTTGTTTCTTTTTGCTTGAACAACAAATCATTTCACATTTCCACTTGGGCTCAGCTCTGGCTTAGACGCCGTCTCTGGTCTCTCGGCCGGGTTCATTAAACCGTCGCCAGCTCAGCCGTCTGGTGTGGCTAACAGCTCTGTGGCTGCTCTGGCAGCTAAAATGGACCGCAGAGTTCTACAGCTTCGGCTTCCGTTCTCAGCTTCGGCACTGTCACCAACAGCAGCTGCATGTGCGCTTACATAACACGCCCCTCCGCTGCTTAGCTCCCTGCCCACCCCACAGCCCACCTGGCTCAGCCGAGCGTGGCGCGATCTCAGGTGTCATAGGCTTTGGCTTTTTGTGGCTTTTTCTCGCCCATCTCTCAATTTGTCGCCCATTGTGGCATAATTGTATTGCAATCATCGCACAGCCCTTTCCCTGGGCCCATCCATCTGGCTGGAGCCCTGCTGCTGCGTGCGTGTGTATCTGGAAATCTGTTTGCTTAGCCGCGCTTTGTGCCGGCTCATGTTGGCCCATGTCGTTGCTCGCTGTTCTGGCCAGATAGTGAGGAAGTCATCTGCATGAGCTCAGCAACAATCGCACACACAGTTTGTGGCCTTATCTATGGGATTTGCGGGCAAACATGTAGCGGGAAATCTGACGCGACAGCACGTGAGAGAGAGTGAGAGAGAGGGAGGGAGGTTCGCACATCATGTAGAGATAGCCAGGTAGAAAGATCGAGAGCGAGGCGCACACTGAAGCTGACAAATCCTGTGCAACGTTTTGGCCACACGTTGCGGCACAATTCGTGCCATTTGGTTCCCACAATCTGCCAACTGCAGTTGCCGAGCGATTTGTTGGAATAAATTGTAATAAATACATAAATTATAATTAAAGAATAGTTCTCATAATGGATATGATCGGTGTATAACACGCATAAGTCTGCATTGTTTGTTGAGATATCTCAATCTGTATCTTATTCTGATAAAGCCCAGCTTAGAGATTTTAATTGACATGTGAATCATGTGGTATAACAATTGGAAATAGGATATATACATATGGTATATATGCAACATTTAACTATAAATATTGAATTTTGACAGTAAGTCATCTCTTTAAGAAAATCACATTAATAATCACATTAATTTATCCTTTCTGTAATATCGAAGGAGCAATTCCGTTCACCAGTATTGACTGGTATGAATATCCCAATAATATCTATCGATTCTTTTATCTCGATAGTTCTATCCTTTCATTTATTTAAAAAAGGAAATACATTTGTCTTTCTTTCATTTCATTCCATTCTCAACATTTATTTTCTCATCTCATATCTTCGCCTCACTAGCTTGCATTTAATTTAATTTCTTTGCTTTATTATATTATATATTATTTTTACGTTCTCCTGCCTTCTTCTGTCTTTCTTTCTCTCCTCAACATAACTAATGCTTCTTGTATCTTCCTCTACTCCTTTTACTCCATCCTCTCTACTCATCTCCACTCATCTCTACTGCTCACTTATTTCACTTCCGTCTCTTCCCTTACCATCACTTCTCTTATTCACTCTTTTCCTCCCGTTCTCCCATATATGTATGTATGTATACAGATATCTACAGTTCTACCCTTTTCCTGCTCGACTCACTCAAATTATGGTATCTTCTAGTCAGTCAACGCTCGTCCAACAAGCTCTATCGTGTGTTTATTAAAATATATAAATCTTTAGTAGATTTCAACTTGTTCATAAAATAATTTTCTCACCGAAACACACCTTGTTCAGGCGCTAGTTGGAGCCGAAGTAACGGCAAAGCGCATTTAGAATGAAACCGAACAACAGAGGAAAAAACAACAACTACAACTACATCAACATCAACATCAACTAACAACAACAACAACAATAACTGACAACAAGTGGCTCCCCGGGCAGCATAAAAGCAAAGGGGTGGGGCTGGAGCTGACGAAGGGAGAGGAGAGAAGGGGTTTTTGTTTCAATTAAGGCGTCTACCTGGCCGTTAAGCGGGACCAGGTAATGCACAAGTCTTGAACTCTTTTGGGTGGGTCACTTCCAGCCTTGGCTGGAGGCGCTGCGCTTGGCTGCCTCCCATATGCACAGGCCAGGCCGCCAAGCAGCAATTGTTGCTAGGCATAAAATGTTTAATTCTTGGGAACACACAGACATTACACAAACAGATATTACCAACAGGGCAACTGCCCAAACCTCATCTGCAGCTCTTTCGCTGGTTCAGCTTCAGCGCGCATTGCCGCTCGAATTCCATGTAAATATGCGAGTTGCATTCAACAAAACAGGTGAAATATGCCTGAGTGGGCGGGGGATAGATTTAACAAGAACTTGTTGTACTTAAAATATGAAACTTTCCTAAATACTAGACCAAAGTATGGCTAAAGACTTTGCTCAGCCTCGCTTGATGGGTGGCAGCACCAAGATGAAGCGAGTCGTGTTGTTGTTGCTTCTTCTTGATCTGCTCATGATCATGCAAATGTTTTGCTACTGCATGCATTGAAGGTAGCCTGGAGTCAAATGATGGTTTATATATTTAGTCTAAATTCATGCTTGAGATATATTAAATTATATTTAAGTATGAGATGTTGGTATAAATTATGAATATAAGTACACGATTTCTATGTTTGTATGCCAATTTTATATATGTTTTATGCAGATACTTCGAGTAAGTAGGTAATTATTTATATTGAATGCAATAGTTAAAGTTTAATAAACAGTTGGAGTAAATCAATGAAATTCATTAAAATTATATTTATTTGAGATCTATTCGAGTTCTGATTTTTCAGATGTGATATATTTTTCATTTTTCCGCTCATTCATGATACGCATCAAATTCTCACCTGTGCTGAAATTTTGTCCATAGCTCCAAACACTTCAGAACGTGATCTTTCATAATCTGGTTCAGTTACTCCTTCAATATCGTCTTTATTCACTCATTTGTAGGATAGTATCGTCCTCTCAAGTAAAAGTCAATGTCACACAGAGAGGTAAAGGGCCTGAGGAATCAGATGCCTAGTCCATCGGTGGATTTTTTGAGTAGTCTCGTATGTATATGTGTAATTGATCCTAAAGAAATTGATTCTATAGAGTATTGTAGCTTTAGAGGATTGAATCTGGAAATCAAGTATATTTAAGGGAAAATAATTCAGTGCTTTATTCTGAACTAGTTCCAAATGCAGAAAAATGAAAAATGAAAATGATCAAAAAATGTGATCAACTTACTCTTCTTCAGCATTTGTGTTTAATACAATGAAATCTTCTGTTTTTTTTTATTTAATTGTTATTGTCATTTTTATTGCTTTATAACAAACTAGCTGGCCCGGCAAACGTTGCATTGCCCTCTATATTATTTCTAGGTAAAAAATTRTTGAAAGCTATGTTGTTCAGGCTGGGATACACTGATAAATTTATTAATCGGATTTTCATTCAAGCACCTTGTTGTAAACGACATTCTTCGTTTTTTGGTCGGGTGCAAGAACAAATAATGCGGATCGTTTGCCAACACGTGAGCATGCCACGTACAATTGACCATGAGAAAAACACGCATTTTCTAGATTGAGGCCACAAATAGTCAAAGATTGGCCCTGTGACTTGTTGATCGTCATGGCGAAGGCAAGACGAAGCGGGAATTGAATTCGTTTAAATTCNTTTTTTTTTGAATAGTCAGGTCTGCTCGAGGTCAGGAGACCGTAGACTGACTGACTACATTTGTTTATTTACTTCTACACTATTGTCAAAACTGTCACTGTTACCAAGCCTACTGGGTATAAAAAAAATTTGAACATTTGGGGAAAAAACCGCGTTTTTCAAGTATTCGGCAAATTTTTTCAGTATTTTTAAGACCCTATACTAAACTCGTTGCGGAGACAAATCCAACAAATCAAAAACCATGAAAATTGGTTCGGCCCAAATCAAGTTATAAGCAGTCTTCACTTTTACACAACTTTCTTTTATATATATAGATTCGAAAATCTTATTCAAGATTTGAATTGCTTAGATTTTATATAAATCGACAAGTTTCCCCAACTGGTATTCCAAATTAAAAAGCACATTGCTCAACGCTGACAGAAGAATAAGAGACAAGAGGTATCTCTATCTTCTTGTACTATATATTTGATCAGAAATTCAGCATGCGAGCTGAGTAATGAATATGACTGACTAAGGTCAGTCTTAATAAATATTTAAGAAATCATTTATGTCATAAAGTTAACAGAGACTGAGGCATGCAGATCAGACAGGCTACATTGACTGATTAAAGTCTACAGATAAACACAAATCATACCTATCTCCCACACAAACAGGGAACTCGAGTGGGAGGGGGAGAGAAAGATAGAGAGAGGGAAGTATTTGCACGTGAAATATGCCCAATGGGTTAAATGCATTATTTAGCATTATTTATGGCTTCACATTTGAATAGCTGTGGAAAATGTGAAAAGTTTTCAGCTCCTTTGATGGCTGTAAAATTTTTTTCTTTCTCTTGTTGTTGTTGTTGTTGTTGTTAGTGCCTCATTGTCTGCGCCTTGTTTTCCTAGTTGTCATTTGTGCAGTGGAAAAACTCCCACAATTGCAATCACAGATATGATATGATATGTTAGCTATACACACACACATATATACGTATACATAGATATGTGTGTATGTATTTCCTGAACAATTGCTGCGACTCGTTAGCTGGTGTGTGCGTAAGGCCTTAAGTTATGATAAATTATGTGGCCACGCCCACTCGCACGCCCCCCGCTGGTGAAAGTGGCAATTGTTGTGTGTTGTGCCTAAGCGAATTCTTACCCAGACAGATTTCCTATTTATTAACAATTGTGCACACACACACACATATATATGTGCATATGTATGTATTTATTAATGATTTCTTTCTTTCTTTATTCTTTTTTTGCAGCAAAAACTACGCACAGAGTTTGGCAATTCGCAATTGGCAATTCCCACGCCATGTCCATGGAACCGAAGTTGTTGTAAGACGCAGTTGCTCTCGATTCTCATTCACATTTGTATAAAGATAACACACGCGCATCCGACCATCCCATATTAACCAGTTAGTTGCATAGCCAGTCAGTAATTAGAGCCGGACTCGTCGACAGGAAACAGCTGCTGCTGAAGAACCACCAGGACGCCATCTACCAGAACCAGTGCCAGTCCCTGTGCCTGCCCATGGCGGACAGTCGGGAGCGAATTCGCGGACCGTCGCGCGATGGCCGCGAGTTTCTGACCAGTCCGCGCCAGGTGCTGCGCCGGCTGATGCTGCTCTCGGAGGGCCGGCAATATCGGGAGGCGGCGGGCGTGGTGGGTCGCTTGGGTCCGTCGGTGCTGCACTCGGTGATCGCGGAGCTGCCCATTGATCTGCTGCTGGAGCATCTGCCGCACAGCGCCTATCTGCTGGAGTCGTTCTACACAAGGTAAGTCGAAGAGACTTGCGTTGCCCTCTGCCCAACCGCCCTCCACTTGCTCTCTCTCTCTCTCTCTCTCTCGTACTTAGGCTAACCACGCTGAACAGCACGCCCAAGCCGGATGTGCCCAGCGAGACGGTTGTTTGGCAGCTGGTGCGCCTCTTTGCCAACCCACACGAGCCCGGCCTGCGACAGCGCTGCTCCAAGCTGATGCAGGCGCTGGCCCAGTATGAGCCCGGGCTGAGGCAGGTGCTGCGCGAACGGCGGCGCAGCTTCGACAATGCAGTGCAGGGATTGGGCGTGCATGGACTGACCACAGATGCCTCCGGGCAGCTGATATCGTTGCACGTGGCGCTGAAGGCGGAGCTGCAGCGGCACGTGGACACCTACAAGATGGCCATACACAAGCTGGAGGAGCTGAGCATGGTCACGAGCAATCAGGACCCGGCGCACTCCTCCCACCAGCGGCTGCTGGCCATCAACTACGGCGACATCCAGCAGCGCCTGATTGACAACAAGACCCTGCTGACCATGCTCGATAAGCCGGCGCTGAAGCAGCTCCACACGCTCGTCGAGAATCTCAGCACGCGCGTCGAGAACGACAAGGAGGTGCTGTCCTGTGTGGGCCAGGTGAAGCGCCTGGATGCCCAGGCACACATCGAGAAGCGCCCGGCCGCCGGCCTGCTGATGAACTTCTCGCGCGGCTGCGAGGTGGTGCTCCACATGATGGGCCCGGAGAGCGTGCCGCCCAGTCCGCTGGCGGCCAACAAAGCCACAGCCGCGGGCAGCGCCGGCGGCAGCAGCTGCAGCGACGGCTACCACTCCGACGACTCGGCCAGCGAGGATGGCAGGTAAGTCAGCCAGACAGCTCAGCCAGCTGCCATTGTTTTCTCCGCTCAAAATGCGGCTTGACATCATTTTTGCTGATGTCTGCGCACCCCACGCACCCTCACCTCAAAACCGACTCTCATCCGTAACTTCTTTCCATTGGCAACAACCCACGTCACAGCGAATTGGTGTCACACTATCGAAATCTCTACATCGAGAACCGAGCAGACGCCCTGGAGGCGTTGGACAGCTTGCCCCAGCTCAAGCACGTCCACAGTCTGAAGGCCAAGATACTCTTCTCCATGATTGTGGTAAGTAAAGAAGATTTTAATTTATTTAGAAGCTGAAGCCGTAAAAATTCAAATTAGTAGCAATTCAATTCAGATATTATTATTTGTGAAATATTTTAGATTAGATCGAATAGCGAATTTTAGACTTTTATGTTACATTTGAATTATTTATTAACTCTAAATAAAGCTCTAGTTATGGTAATAGATATTTTTTACTTGAATTCTTT